TTTTTTTTTTTTTTTTTTTTTTTGCTGAAGGTACGGGACAGCCCAGGGGGCGGCCACAGGGTGTGAGGGTCAGTGTCCCCCAAAGATGGGACGACCAGTCTCGGTCCACACACAGCAGTGGACAGTCTGCACGCTCTCTCTCACCTAGAGGGCCATTTTCGGACCCCAGTGACCATCGTGAACTCTGTTCCCCGGGGTACAGCTATGTCCGGGATGACAACTGCCCGCTGACCGTGCACGTTACACTGGCCTTTGGTCAGATATCGGGGCCACGGATGGAGCCAGGGAGAGGAGGAGGGAAGAGGCGGAAGACAGAGGTCTGGAGGGGAGGTCACCCCAGCAGGTAGGCAGGACGAGGCAGGGGATGGGCTGCAGGCTGCGCCCAACCACACACTCTCCAGGGTCAGGAGAGGTGCCCACCAGGGTAGGGACACCCAGAGGGCTCAGGCGAGGGACCCGGTACCCAGGCTGCGGTGGACAAACCAGGCATAATCCCTGCAGAAGGTGGAAAGCCGTGACAGTTGGGGTGCGCACTCTGTCCCCTGGGTCCAAGGGCACCGCTCACCACACCCCACACACCCACAAGAGACACCCCGGCTGCATCTGGACTCCCCCAGGCCCTCTGAGACAGAAACCACCCAGAAGAAAAGGGAACTTCAGGAAGCAAGTCGTGCCACACGGTTTCAATCCACATCTTAATATTTGCAGGGTTGTGGGCAAGGAGTTCGCACTTCCAGGAACTGGTTTACCAGTCCTAGGAGGCAGGGCTGCAGACACAGAGCACGGCCCTGAAGAGCCACATGTGCCTGGGGCCAGAGCAGGGAGGGGCGGGTCTTTTTCATTTCCTTTCTTGGAATTTTGAGAGCCTTCTCCTAGAGAGAGACAGTTAATTGCCTTCCGAAGCCACTTTGTCTCCCATGATCCTTTCTAGAACCCCTCGTGGAAGTTTCTCAAAAGCTTCATTGGTGGGAGCAAAGAGTGTGAAGTGACCGTCTCTTCCAAGGGCCTCCAATATATCAGATGTGATGGCAGCTGCCTGAAACACAAATGTGCTTTTTAGAGGCTGCTCCATTGCAAATTTTACCAGTCCTAGGAGGCAGGGCTGCAGACACAGAGCACGGCCCTGAAGAGCCACATGTGCCTGGGGCCAGAGCAGGGAGGGGCGTGGAGCCCTGGGCTGCAGGGGAGCGAGGCCAACACCCCAAGCCTTGGTGAGTGGGGTCTGAGAGGACCAGGGCAGGCAGTGGAATGGAGCCACAGAGGGAAGACTGGCCTCGGGGACCCACAGAGTGGCGGGAGCAGCCCAGCGGGCACGGGGAAGGCGAGCTGCCCAGGGGTCACGTGCTGCCCAGGGCAGGGACTAGGGAGCCCGGGCAGGGGCGTGTCCACACCAACAGGGCTGGAAACCCAGGGCCAGCAGAGCTCGGCGGGGCTGCTGGGACTTCGAGGACCGTGATGGGCTGGGGGACAGGAGCCTCAGGGCTTCACTCGGCCAGATGTGCTGCAGGCACAGGGCTGGGCTTGGGCTGAGGACGAGGCCAGGATGGACAGGTGGGTCTGAGCGAGGACAGAGGGAGGACGCTGGCTCGGCACAGGGGAAGGAAAGGGCCCCCGGTGGCAGGGGGGCTGCGGGTCCTGTCCAGGACAGTGGGGCCGGCTTGAGTCCCAGGGCAGTGGCAGGCGGGGTGGCGGTGGGCTCTGGGCTGGGGCCGGGGTCCAGGGCAGCGGGAGCACCAGGAGCACAGCAGGCAGGGCTGGCCTGGGCTCCTGTGTGCCCAGAGCTGGCCGCACAGGGGAGGGGCTGAGCACGCAGCTGCACAGGCTACACAAAGGGCGAGCGGAGCCAGGGCCTGAGGGCCGGGAGCAGGGGCTGGGGGCCGGGAGCGGGGAGGCAGAGGGCAGGTGACCCGGCCACTGGAGGGAGAAGCGACCAGAGCAGGATCCCGGGGTGGTGGGAGAAAGAGGAGGGTGAAGCTCGGAAGGCCAGGAGCTCCTCTGGGAGGGGCCCACAGTGGGACAGGGGCTCTGCCAGGGGAGAGGGGCCGGAGACAGGGTGGGCACCTAGCGACTCCAGGGAACAGAGCTCAGCCCCGGGACCGAAAGGAGGCAGGAGGGGAGCTGCACAACGGTGAGGGCTCGGGGGTGGGCCAGAGGGGCACAGGTGCTGAGGGCCAGAGCTCCAGGGACAAGTGGCAGGGAGGCAGCAGGTGAGCAGGGGACTGGGAGGGGAGGGGGCTGCCTGGGAGTTCTGGGGGAGCAGGTAGAGCTTGTGCGGGTGAGCCTGGGGCTGGGAGGGCAGGGGCCTGCCTGGGAGCTCTGGGGGAGCAGGTAAAGCTAGTGTAGGTGAGCCTGAGGCTGGGAGGGCAGGGGGCTGCCTGGGAGCTTTGGGGGAGCAGGTAAAGCTAGTGTAGCTGAGCCTGGGGCTAGGAGGGCAGGGGGCTGCCTGGGAGCTCTGGGGGAGCAGGTAAAGCTAGTGCAGGTGAGCCTGAGGCTGGGAGGGCAGGGGGCTGCCTGGGAGCTTTGGGGGAGCAGGTAAAGCTAGTGTAGCTGAGCCTGGGGCTGGGAGGGCAGGGGGCTGCCTGGGAGCTCTGGGGGAGCAGGTAAAGCTAGTGCAGGTGAGCCTGGGCCTGGGAGGGCAGGGGGCTGCCTGGGAGCTTTGGGGTAGCAGGTAGAGCTTGTGCGGGTGAGCCTGGGACTGGGAGGGCAGATGGCTGCCTGGGAGCTTTGGGGTAGCAGGTAAAGCTAGTGTAGTTGAGCCTGGGGCTGGGAGGGCAGGGGGCTGCCTGGGAGCTTTGGGGAACCAGGTAGAGCTAGTGTAGCTGAGCCTGGGGCTGGGAGTGCAGGGGGCTGCCTGGGAGGGCAGGGGGCTGCCTGGGAGTTCTGGGGGAGCAGGTAAAGCTAGTGCAGGTGAGCCTGGGCCTGGGAGGGCAGTGTGCTGCCCGGGAGCATGGGGGAGCAGATAGCGTTTCTGCAGCTGAGCATGGTGGGTGGAAGGGTAAGGGGCTGCCCCAGGAGCTTTGGGGAGGCAGGTAGACCTTGTGCAGGTGAGCAGGGGGTTGGGAGGACAGGGACCACCTCAGCAGACCAGGTACTGGGGTGAGCAGGTGAGTAGGCAAGTGTCATCGGGTGCAGGGACCGTTGGTGCTGTGGGCCCAGCGCTCCAGGGACAGTAGGCAGTTCGACGCCAGCTGAGCAGATGACATGAGGATACAGCATCCCTGAATTGAGCCCAGAGACCTGAGCCAAGGGGGCTGGGAGGGCAGGACACAGGGCAGCTGGCAGTGGGGGCAGAGCAGGGAGTCCTACAGGAGAGAGGGCTGGGGGCCCCCCTGGGGTGTGCTGAGGGCCCAGGGCAGGAGAGAAGGGGCACAAGGGCAGGGACGACTCAGGCCTGAGACGCTGAACCGGAGCTCACATGGGCAGAGGCTAGACACTCGATGGAGAGGAAGCCCGGGCTCAGCTGAGGGGCCAGGATGAGGGGTGGAGGCAGGTGAGGGAGCATCTAGATGAGGGGAACCTGAGTGCACTGAGAAAGGAGAGCAGCCTTTCCGCTGGAGCGCAGGGGGCTGGTAAGGCCGGGCGCAGGGGGAGCTCAGGGGAGCAGGCGGCGATGTGTAGGGCAGCAGGGGGCTGCGAGGGCAGGGCCTGCCCCAGGTGCCCCAGAGTCAGGGGAAGAAAGGCCGAGGAAAAGGGAGCCGTGATCTGCTGGAAGGGGCTTTGTGGATGGCAAGGCCGGGTGGAGAGGGAACCTGGGAGTGCAGGTCTCTGGGGCTGAAGAGACACGGGCGACCCTGAGGGGACCCAATGGGCCGCAGTTCTTGTACCCAGGGTCCCAACCCTGTTCCAGGAGACTGTAGGAGCTGGGACAGGAGGGGTGAACGTGCAAAAGCGAGGTGGGGTTGACAGGGCAGTGGACCTGGCAGAGGGGAAACGAGGGGCTCTTTGGGGGCTCAGACGGGTCTGCATACCTGGGCTGAGCAGAGCCGGGTCAGAGGGGACAGGTCCAGCCGGGGAATGGGGCTTGGGGTGCTGGCACCCTGCAGGAGGGGAAGGCCAGGGGCAGTGCAAGGCTCCCAGGGATGCCAATGGGCAGAGTGATCCAGAACACACGGGCCCTGGGTGGCCAAGAGCAGAGGCCAGGACAAGAGGCAGGAGCAGAGCAGGGCAGTGGGCTCAGGGAGCAGGAGCCACTGGTCAGGGCTCAGACCGAGGGCCTGGTCAGGCCAGACACCCACAGGAGGACTGGGGCCCCGGGGGCCTCTAACCCAGGTGGTCACCCAGCCCTGACTGGGCTGCTGAGTCCCGGACCCACAGCTGTGAAGACAGAGAACCACAGTGGCAGAGACCATGCCAGGCCGCTGGTCTTCAGACTCTCTGGAAGCACATAGTCTCTGGGCTCAACGGTGTCCCAGGCCTGGACACCTGATGCCCTTCCCGGACCCTCACAGGGGTGAGGCCCTGGCAGTCACACGGCTTCCTCTCTCACAGCTTCTGCCACGAACCCGAAAGTCTACGCTCTGCCTCCCAGCTGTGGGGACACACCTAGTTCCACAGTGGTCGTGGGCTGCCTGGTCTCGAGTTACTTCCCTGAGCCAGTGACTGTGACCTGGAGCCCGGGTGCCCAGCCCAGCAACGTGCACACCTTCCCATCCGTCCTCGGGTCCTCGGGCCTGTACTCTCTCAGCAGCACTGTGACCGTGCCTGGCAGCACCTCGTCCGGCAAGACCTTCACCTGCAACGTAGCCCACCCGGCCAGCAGCACCAAGGTGGACAAGCGCATTGGTGAGAGGACGGGCCGCAGGGAGGGTGTCCACTACGAGACAGGCCCGGGGTCAGCCCTCCCACCTGAACGGACCGCACACCAGGGATGGTGAATCCCGCCCAGGGTGTCACGGGAGGCCTGTCTCTCTCCCTCACCTGAAGGCCTCCCAGGCTCAGGGAGGGGGTCCTCTGGGCATTTCCACCAGGTCCAGGGTGGGCACAGGCTGGACGCCTCCCCGAGCCCTGGGCCCACAGAGATGGGCACAGGTGTCACCTGCCAAAACCTGGCCCTGCCCTAAGCCAAACCGCGGGCTGTCCCCAACCCCAGTAACCTCCAGTCTGTTCTCTGCAGAAATCAACGGCCCTAACCCCTGTTCCAGGTGTCCGATATGTCCACGTAAGTCAGCCGGCCTCACCCTCTGCCCCTTGGAGGTGAACCGTGACCAGGCGTGGCACTGTGGTGGGGGGGATGGATGGGTGCCCAAGAGGAGGTCCACCAGGGGCTGACCCCCCGCCGTGTCTCCCCGACCAGCCCCTGAGCTCCCAGGAGGACCGTCCGTCTTCATCTTCCCCCCGAAACCCAAGGACATCCTCACAATATCCCGAAAACCGGAAGTCTCCTGCATGGTGGTGGATGTGAGCAAGGACGACCCCGATGTCCAGTTCTCCTGGTACGTGGACGATGTAGAGTTGCGAACGGCCAAGACGAAGCCAAAGGAGCAGCAGTTCAACAGCACCTACCGTGTGGTCAGCGCCCTGCCCATCCAGCACCAGGACTGGCTGAAGGGGAAGGTGTTCACGTGCAAGGTCAACAACAAAGGCCTCCCGGCCCCCATCGTGAGGACCATCTCCAAGGCCAAAGGTGGGCCCGGTGGACGGGCGCAGGAGGGTCCCTGGGCGCCAAGAGCAGTGAGCTTCATGCTAACAGCCATTCCTCTCCGCACAGGGCAGCCCCGGGAGCCGCAGGTGTACGTACTGGCCCCAGCGCGGGAAGAGCTGGCCAAGAGCTCGGTCAGCGTAACCTGCATGGTCATCGCCTTCTACCCGGCCGACATCGACGTGGGGTGGCACAGAAACGGGCAGCCGGAGCCAGAGGGCAACTACGGCACGACCCCGGCCCAGCTGGACGCCGACGGCTCCTTCTTCCTGTACAGCAGGCTCAGGGTGGACAAGAGGAGCTGGCAGCGCGGAGACACCTACACGTGTGTAGTGTTGCACGAGGCGCTACACAACCACAACTCGCAGAAGTCCATCACCCAGTCTTCGGGTAAATGAGCCACACGGCGTTGCTGCCCAGCGAGCCCTCCCTCCCCTTGGGCTCTCAGGGTCCAGCGAGGACTCCTGAGCCCCAGCCCTGTGTACACTCCTCCCGGGCGCCATGAAATAAAGCGCCCAGCGCCGCCCTGGGACCCCGCAATGCTGTCATGGTTCTTTCCGAGCAGAGCCCTGGGGCACGCCGGGCCTGCATGGGGCAGGGGCGGGCCCGGCTCTGGGTCACAGTTTGTCACCACCAGTGCGGGCGAGCTGACCCCCTCAGGGCCGGACCCAGCGTGTGCGGGTCTGCGCAGGCCGCTTGGGGGCTGCCCGAGGCCGGGGAGGGCCTCTCCCGGAGGGGACAGCTGCTCCGGCCGCCCTCCACCCAGCAGCTGCTGGGGCTGGAGTGTGTGCCCGGGACGGGAGACCCTCAGGAGAGTGAGTGCCCACTTCCTCCTGCCCCTGTTCCAGCCCAATCAGTGGGACACTGGCCGTCCTTGTCCCCACGTTCCTGTCCCCGGCTCCAGAGTCCGCGTGCCGGCTCTCCGCCCTCACGGGGGCCACACACGGCCCGGGGTTGGGGGACGGCCCGGCTGCACTGTCAGGCACGGGAGGTCAGGACCGCCCCGCCTCAGGCCAGGTGGATCTGCCCTGCTTGTCCCTGCCAGGGGCAGGCCTGTGCACTCGTGGGGACACTCATCCCTGTGCCCACAAGGGGCAGAGGCAAGCGGCCCTGAGTGCCCGGGGGGGGACCCTCCAGACGCACCCATGGACACTGAGCCCAGAGCCATTGAAAACAAGCCCCGCACTGAGCCACACCAGCCGGCACACCACCACCTTCATCCACACGCACTCACCTGCCCACGTACACGCGTGTGCAGTGCGCCCATCACAACACCCACACGCGTGCACACTCGCGGGCCTTGCACACGGGCCCTCCCACAGGGCAGCCGCACAGACGCACACCCGACCACAGAGCTGGGTCTCATGAGCCCTCACCGTAGACCCCAGGCTGGTCCCCACCCTCCAACGCCCATGGGACAGAGACCAGCACTGTCCTGCCCCTTCCCTGGACCAGGGCCCACAGCCCACGCACGCTGCTGACACTCCCACCCTCCAGGTCTGGCCCCCAGCGGGAGAGGCGGCCGGGGCCTGAGCCACTGTCCTGCAGGGGGTCCGGGCACCCTCCCCGCAAGGGCCCCAGCTCAGCGCACAGCACCGGGGAGGGAGCAGGACCCACTGGCAAGGCCGAGACGGGGGCCCAGGCTGGAGGAATGGGGGGCTGGGGCCGGTGCCCAGCACCTGTCCTCAGGTGCCTCTGGCCCGGCGCACCCGGGGCCTCCCGCCACCACCGCGCCACAATGGGAGCCGCGCTGCGAGGCCCCGTGAGCCCAGCCTCGCCCCCGGGGGCAGGCACAGCACTGACCCCACCCTCCCTGTGCAGAGCTGCAGCTAGAGGAGAGCTGTGCTGACGCCCAAGACGGGGAGCTGGACGGGCTGTGGACGACCATCTCCATCTTCATCACCCTCTTCCTGCTCAGCGTGTGCTACAGCGCCACCGTGACGCTCT